AAGTACTTATTTTGTAGTATTATTTAATCTTGACTCGTTCACTAACACACCGTATAAGTAAACTAGATTGTTTTTACGTGATGCGTGCTATATGCCGCATTTTTAAAAGATATTTATTTAGCTGTAATACTGTGCGTGACGTCATTTTTCGGTTTGTGTTTGTTGGCCTTTAAATGGCAATTTAAAAGCATTGGTGAATGTCAACTCAATTTAAAAGGTAAGATCTAACACTTGTCATTGAGAATACGCTTGTGATTCTCCGGTCAGAGGGTGCTTTGAATTTCAAGCACATCCTTTTTTTTATAGAAGAGGAGAAAAATGAGAATGAGGCTCACAGTGTTGACTGCCGCCCATGAACAAATGCAACACCAAGGGAATCGCAGATGCGTTTCCGGCCTTCTAAAAAGGAGTAAGCTCGTTTTTTAAAGGTTGTTAAGTCGTATCGGTAAAATTTGCCGGTGGTAAAATATTCTACCAAAAAGTCGTGTCATACTTTTCGTCGTTTTCGTTCGTCGTTGTCGTGTCAAAGTCGTATCCAGATGATGCTGATGGTAACGTGAGTTTTGCCGCGATTTACGTTGGTAAAATGTGGCGGCTGGAATTTGTCTGGAATTCCTCACAGCACTCCCCGTAGTAAATGCGATAGAAAATGCTAAGGGATGCAACATCGAGTTGATCAGAGAGAACTCGGTCGTTAACAATTCGAGCCGCTCTACGCTGGATGCAGTCACAGAAAACAATATTCCATGTGAGGCCGAACCTGCATCTTGTAAATTTGCAAGCGGTGTGCTAGTATGAAATACTGTCCCATTCTGCTAAGCACGCCAAGCTTTTTAAAGGCCAATTTGGCCTTCCCCTTCAAGTTACCATAAATGACCTGGGATGTTTTAACTACCTCGCCCGACCGCCCTGCGCGCCCCGGACCGCACAATTTTATATCGTCGTTACTTTTAAATTATTTAACCAAATTACGTAGTTTAAAGACAAAGTTTGTCTACCTTGAATATCAAAAGCTATAAAGGTAAAAGGTATTTATTATGATAAAAAATCTATTTACTATTACAAAATGTGCAAAGGAAATAAAGTATCAAATTTTATTTTATTTATGGTTCACTGTTTCGGTAATAATAGCTTACACATAAAATATAGATATATACTGTTACAGACTTTTTATAGAACTATTTAGAAGAAATAATTCCTAAATAATTATATTCGTGTAACTCTTCAGTTTTTCCACCGCACGCCAAAATAGCTTACTGGTGACATATTTTTTCCCCACTGACTTAACATTTATCGTTATAATTTGACCAAATAACAAATAATTTTTATGAATTATATCCTATGTGTTATTTTGATGTATGTCCTGTATTATTGTAAAATTTTATTAAATCTATTCAGTAGTTTTGCCATTAAAGGGTAACAAACATCCATACATCCTCAAAAACTTTCACTAATACTTATTTTGTGCTCCAAGTGGGAAACTTGAGGAAATCTTCCCTCCAATTGTAGTACCTCTTGCAACCCTTCACAATGTCTACTTTGATTTAAGAGACTTCTTGAAAACATAACCTCAAATATTAATAATTTTTTCTCGGATTTTGTTTTTTGAACTTTGATTCCCTTGCCGGGGTTTTCACCCACCTCCATACCGTTTCTAAAGTGTTTTCTCTAATGTCTTTCGATAGATCTCGTTTACGCCTGGTGTAAAATAATCAGACCGGTAATAGGGAACCAGCATCAAAGGTGAGAGACGTTGGCTTAAACGGCAAATATTCCCCCTGTGAGGCACTCTATGGGGGAATCCTCGGTTCAATGGACTTTTGATTGGCTGTAATGAAAATAAAGCCCTAGCTCCCAACCCCTGAGCTACCATTATTAACGAGATCCCTAAATCAAAAGTATATAATATCCGACGTTTTAAATTAAATAGAGACTTTAGACGACAAGTTTTAGATCGTCTAATAGACCCTTTTTTTTTTGCGGATGGAAAATCATCAAATGACGCCTTCCGCTCTGGGTGGAGCGGAAGGGAGTGTCAGACTTTTACTGACTAAAAACCATCCGTGTTCCTTCAGTGCCCTTACGTTCCGGAGCCGCAGTATCTCTTTCGAACAGCCCGCAGCCCCGGCAGGCGTCGGCCCTTGCGGGCCCCTTCACGCTGCTGACAGCTCTTTGAGGCGCGCGTGGAACAAAACGCGCCGTTGACACGGCCTGTCGTCGTTAGACGGACGGACGGCGAGCTACCCATTGCTCGCCGTCCACAGGCCCGCGCCTACGGTGGCCGGGGGCCACGACGTAGCCCCCGACGCCCGGGGCGTCTCCCGCGGCGGCCGGGAAGGAAAACTGCTGCTCTCTCCTTCTCCCGCTCCGCCACCTCCTTCGCTAGCATCACTGCTTCGCAGAAGGTGGTGACGGCATCCCATTCCGTCTCGCTCCGGACCATGGCTTCGACCAGGGCCGGACACGAGAGGCACGCTGCCTCGCGGGAGATCGTGCGGTAGCCGTGAACCATTCTCACGGCAACCACCTTTTGGGGCGCGTTCAGGTGGTGGACGGCAAGCCGCGCCAAACCACGCGCCCACACCGGGGCCCCGTAAAGGGCCATGGACCGCACAATCCCCGCGTAGAGCCTCCGGCAGGAGGCGTTTGGCCCCCCCAGGTTCGGCAGGAGCCGCCTGAAGGCAGCCCCGGTCCGTTCCAGTTTGGGAGCCAAACGTCGGAAGTGCTCAACGAAGTTCCATCGGCCGTCGAGGACGAGTCCTAGGTACTTCAACGTCAACTCGACGCCGATGGATACCCCTCCTACCATCGCTGAGGATTCCGGTGGTGGCCTGTTCCGAGGACCATGGAAGTGCATGGCCTCGGCCTTGTGCAGAGCCACCTCAAGACCCAGCTGCCGGATCCTCTCAACGACTATCGCAACCCCGCGTGTCATATTTTCCGCCGCCGCCTCGTACGACCCCCCCTGTGCCAGTACCAGCGAGTCGTCAGCGTAGCAAACTACGCTGACGCCGGTAGGGAGGTCGGCGCGCAGCACCCAGTCGTAACCGATGTTCCACAGGGGCGGCCCCAGAACCGAACCTTGTGGGACACCGCACGACATCTCTCGCCGGTTCCACTCACCGTTGCGACCGGGGTAGATGACGGCCCTATCTGTCAGATAGTCCCCAACTATACGACGGAGATAGGTCGGCACCCGGTGATACCGGAGTGCCTCCCTAATGCAGCTCCAGGGCATGGAGTTGAAGGCGTTGGCGATGTCGAGAGACACCGCCAAAACAACCCCCCCCTGGCCACTGGATCCCCCGTCGTGAGGGCTCTCACGCGCATGATGGCGTCCACCGTAGAGCGCCTCTTGCGGAAACCAAACTGGTGTTCCGCAAGATCCGGCCCCGTCCCTGCAAGGTGCTCGGCGAGGCGGTTTGCAATGACTCTTTCAAAGAGCTTGCCCACCTCTTCGAGCAGCACCACGGGCCGGTATGCGGACGGAGAGTCCGCAGGGCGCTCCGGCTTCCGAATGAGGACCAGCTTCCCCGTCTTTCAAAGAAGCGGGAATTGGCCTCTCTCCAAGCATGCGCTTAGGAGCCCCTCCAGTCGGGGCCCGAGAGCCTCCGAGGCCAGGACCCAGGCTTTGCCAGGCAAGCCATCGGGTCCTGGGGCGGTATTCCTGGCCTTGGGCCTACGTACCGCCACTCTCAGGTCTATCCCGGTCCCTTCCGGGATGCCGTCGTCGTCGTCCTGGTGGTCCGCTTCCGGCACCGCAGGTGGCGGAACCATAGGCGGGGGCGGATGTTCCCCTCGCGCAGGAAACAGAGCGCTCACCACGTCCTTCACGAGCTGAGGCCGGAGACTCTGCGTCAGCGGGGGGGCCCAGGTGCGGAGTTTATCCCGCACCATCTTGTAAGGGCGCCCCCACGGATCTCTGTCGAGAGTCTCCAGCATCTCCTCACGGGCCCGATCCCGGTCTCGCATGACAGCCTCCCGGAGGGCGGTCTTCGCCGCCCTGTATCCCTCTTACAGCTCCGCCTCAATGGCTGCCGCATTCGGTGGACGAATGCGGAGCCTGCGATGCCTGGCGTACAGGTGCCGCGCGGCGACTCACGCCTCGCGCAGAGACGTCAGCTCACGCGACCACCAATACACCTGGCGCCGGGCGCTTCCTGGCCGGACGCGGGGCATTGCCACGTCACATATCTCGGACATGGCCTCCTGGAACCACCCTGCCTCATCATTGACGTCGGCAGGCCTATCCGGTGATGACACCCAGGCCTGCACGATCGAGGCTTCCAGGAGGAGCTCCCGGTCCAGCTGCTTCAGCGCCCAACGCGGACCACTCGGGGCCTGTTGGACTGGCGCGCTCGAGGGCTGGGTGGAGACGTCAAACCGGATGTACCGGTGGTCGGAGTAGGTCTCCACCCCCTCCATGACTCGCCAGTCAATGGCACGCGGCGACAGAGCGGGGCTAGCGAACGAAATGTCCACCACTGACTCGCCCCGCATCCGCACACACGTGGGGACAGAACCCCGATTTAGGACGACCAGGCCTGTCTCCAGAGCCCAGTCTTCCACCATCCTACCCCGCACATCTGTACGACGAGAACCCCAAGCCAAGTTCTTGGCATTGAAGTCCCCGAGGACAAGCACGGGGAGGGGATAGCTTCCGACGACGACTGCTCTCAGCTCTGCAAGAGAGTTGTGGAGCTCGGCGAGAGATCGGTTCGGGGAGAAGTACACCCCCACAACGACGAACTCCCCGATCCGTGCCGCTACATACCCCTGACCCCTCCTGACACCTTCAAGGGTCGGGGTACCGGCGGCGGCCGAAGAAATGATGGCCACTGAACCGTTAAGGTCCGCCACCCAGTCCTTCCTAGGCCAGACAAAATACGGCTCATCGACCACAGCGATGTTAATCGACCACTGCGCCATGCTCTGGAGCAACAGATCCTGAGCGCAGGCGCAGTGGTTGATATTCGCCTGGAGGAAGCTTAATGGGGCCGTTATAGGCATTCCATTTCAGCTTCCTCCACGGGGCGCCCCTCTGCAGGCGTCGGTGTCGCGGCGGCGGTGGCGGCGACAGTGACAGCGGCGGCGGCCGCAGTTGCAGCTGCGGCGGTGGCCATAGAGGCGGTGGCGGCGGAGGAGGGCCCTCCCCTACCCGCGGCCTTGACCTTGGCGGGTGGCATGCAGGCCCTGCTTCCGGCCCAGTGATCGGCTGGCTTGCCGGTCACCGCACATGCATCACAGTGCGGCGTGGCGCAGCAGGTCGCCGATATGTGTCCGGGCTGACAGCAGCGGAAGCAGAGGCCACTGCGGTCAACCTCCGAGGCGCATTTCACTGATACGTGATGCCCCACGAGACAGCGGTAGCACCTCAGAGGTCTGGGCTCCATCAGCTTAACCTGCGCTGAGACCCAGCCCACCAGAAGCCTTCGGCCCTCCACTATGGTTTTGGCCGCCGTAACAGGGCAGCACACCGTGGCGGCATGCATACCCTGTTGGTCCGGGCGTATGGCGCCTGACCTGACCTGGTCAGTAGTGCACCCCCTGGACCTGGCGACGGCGGCCACCAACTCCTCCTCCGATACCGAGTCGTCCAGACCCATGATGCGCAGGTCTGCGCATCTGACGGGCCTTGACACTCGGGCCTCGTCCGCGTTCAGGGACGCTCTGAGCTTCGCAGCCAGAGCGTCCGCAGTCGCACCACTGGATTCCCCGGGGATCTCCAGCATACGGGCCCCCGTCTGGGTGACTTTGAGCCGGAGGCCCCCAGTGATCCCGAGCTCCCCGAGATCCACCGCCTCCTTCGCCTTCACGAGTAGATCGCGGTAGGTAACGCCCTTCTTTTCCGCGTCCGGCTGTAGTGTAATCACTACAGCTGCGGTCTTCGGGGCGCGGAGCCTAGCCGCGATCTTGCGCGTCCTGAACTGGCGCTGCCGCTCCTGCTCTTTGGTCTTTTTGGCTGCCTTCTTCCCCTTCTGTTTGTCCCCGACCACCTGCCAACCGGCTTCTGCCGCGGGAGGTGTGGGGAGCTGGGGGGGCGGTGGCGGCAGCGGCAGCTGGCTTGCCGCTGGCGCTGGCCCATTCGCCGCAGGCACTGGGGCTGGCGCAGCCATCACCTGTGCTGCCGCCTTGCCCTTTTTCGCATTCGCCTTGCCTCTCTTTCCCGTCGCCGGCTTAGCCGGAGCCGGTTCAGCCGGTATCGGTTTTGCCGGAGCCGACTTTTCAGTGGGGGGAGGAGCAACTGCAGCCCCACCCGAGGGCTGGCTGGACGGCCCCGGCCTGGATGCGGCAGCCGTGGCCGTCGCGTAAGAAGCCGTTGCCGGCCTCGCCGCCGTCTTGTTTGCCCCTAAGGGGGGGCGCAGGACGATGCCCTCCAGCACGGAGAACCGGTGCTGGAAGGCAGCTAGCTCCTGCCGGACCAGGTTCAGAACCTGGTTCTCCACCGGCACGGGCTGGCTTGGGCGCTGCGTCTGGGGCGCCGCGCGAGAGGCAGGCTCATGTAGACTGGCCAGGTCTGCGCGGAGCTTCTCATTCTCCTTCTGGAGAGTCTCCATGGCGGACGTCAGGCGGGCCACGTCCGCTCGCAGCTTCGCCACCTCGTTCGAATTAGGCCCAGCCCCAGCAAAGTTGGCCTCCGCAGCCGCCATGATGGAGGCGGAGGCCGCGGGAATGGCCTTGAATTTCGAGGAGGGTCTAATAGACCCTAATGTATGAAGTTTAAAAAAATTAACAAATAAATACGTGACACGATCGTCTAATTCATTTGGCAAGCGAAAGATTTTATTTAAGAATTTTTAAGGTTTTTATGAATCTCAATGTGTGACATTTATTCAAATTACAGAGGTAGCTTAAAATTAGCTTCGATGAATCTTTTATAAATGCCTTCATTAATATTTATTTTTCAATTACATTAATGCTTTCTTGTTCAGTAATAGAAATAGCAATAGAACTTGTTTTGTTAAAAGTTATAAATATAAATGATGGCAACATGGTGATGACAATAAAATTAATACGACTATACTTATCTTAGTAAGTGGACTGTGTTCTCGTTTGTCACCATTATTCTATAAAAAATGCTATGTTTAATGTTCTTACGCCAGCACAACACAAAACGCGTTAGCTAAATTTCATAGAAAAGTGGAAATACATTAGTTACACGTTGGGAACGTGAAAGTTGCGTTGTGTGTTCCAAAATTCTATTGACTTAAATTTATTTTGCACATAATATTGCGATTTTCAGTTCAAAGTAATATTGCTTGCATGGTGCAGTAATTGGACCTGTATTTTAGTGGCAACCTTTAACTTCTATACCGGCGGAATTAAATTTAAACCTGTAAACCTATTGCAAGTTTAATCGAAAGAATAAAGCAAAAATTTTTTTTTCAGACAGATCTCCAAATGCACGGCACTCACGCAACTTTTATACTGCTCGTATTGAAGAAGCGATCTAGAAGAACCAGGGCTCCAAAGTCTTTGCCATAGATCTGTCTGCCAGAAAGTGTTTCCGAGACACCTGAGTTTTTGAGTGAGATTGAGAGGCTCTATGGGCAGCTGTACACCTCATCGTTGGAGCCACACGCAAGTGTGAGTGACGATCCAAGAGCGAGTATTATCCGACACTATTCCTATGATATCCCGGACATCAGTCTGAGCGAGATTAGAATCTCCAATACATTAAGAACGGAAAGTCCCCGGGCGAGGATGGAATTATAGCGGAGCTTCTGAAAGCGGGTGGAAAACTTGTACTTAAAGTCCTTCAGAAGCTCTTTTATTCCATCCTTCATGAAGGTACTACTCCGGAGGCGTGGAGCAGAAGTGCGGTGGTCTTGTTCTTCAAGAAAGGGGACAATGCTCTGTTGAAGAACTACAGACCGATTTCCCTCCTGAGCCGCGTCTACGTGCTGTTTTCGAGAGTCATTACGAATCGTCTCGCATACAGAATCGACGACTTCCAGCCTCCCGAACAAGACAGTTTCCGAAAAAGCTTTTGCATCATAGACCACATACATATCCTTCGGCAAATTGTACAGAAGACCGAAAAGTACAATCTGTCACTTTGTTTTGCGTATGTGGACTATGAGATAGCCTTTCATTCCGTCGAAATTTGAGCGGTGCTGCCGTCCCTCCAGCGGTGCCAAGTGGACTGTCGGTATATCGAAGTGCTGAAGTGTTTTCACAGTAGGGCTACAATGGCTATCCGAGTACAGAACCAGATCACGATACCTATCTAACTGCAGACAGGGTGACGTAATATCCCCGAAACTCTTTACCTTTTAATTGAAAGACGTTTTCAAGCTACTGAACTGGAAAAGATAAGGCATTAACGTCAATTGCGATTACTTCACTCACCTTCGATTTGCCGATGATATAGTCCTTATGGCAGAATCGCTGGAGGACTTAATCACTTTGCCCAATGATCTTAATAGTATCACCCAACGGATAGATCTTAAGATGAACATGGACAAAACAAAAATCATATTTAACGTCCATGTCACACCTACGCCGATAGTTCTTGGGAGCACTAAGCTCGCAGTTGTTGACGAATATGTTTACCTGGGTGTTTACTCGAGTGGCAGCCTCGTACTGGCAGGCGAAGTGTAGGGAGTCCCCCTGCTATATGGAATGACGATCTGGTAAGACATGCAGGAAGTCGATGGATTTAGGTGTCTCGGGACCGTGCTTTGTGGCATTCCTTGGAGGAGGCCTATGTTCAGCTGTGGACTTGTGAAGGGCTGTAATGATGATTATGATGATGATAGTGTGATATTAATGATAATGATGTTGACATCTGATGATGTGTTTTATTGTTTTCTTTTTTAAATACTGTAAATTCTAATAATATTACTAATGGTCCCTTTAAACACTCCTGGTTAGCTTGAAATGCTTGAGTTAGGATTGGTTCACGACAGAAGTCGAATGGCGGATTCAATCTCACGTCCTTCGAGATCGTGACCCGTAGCTTGCCATTGACGCTTCGTACTGTAAAAGCCTGACGTCTTACTACAATAAAATCACAAATTACATTTCATTACAGTTACCCATCTCTTCTATCCAAAGTTGTGGATTTTTTATGCAAATTAGTTTATAATGGCTTAATGGATATTTTTAGCGAAATTTTGCGTAAATAGACATTATGCGTAATTTAAACCCGACTTTGATGTCCTTCGATTACATACGATACCACTAAAAATGAATTTTATTTTGGCGCATTATGGCATATTCTAGTGTGTGGGTAACCTGTGATGTATTCCTTGTGTACTCATAGGCATTCTATGTTAAAGTTTTTGTGTAGATCGTGTTTAGTGTACGTATATCAAAAAGGTTCCCGTTGTTCAAATGCTATTTAATGGAGATAAAGAAATTTGTTGCCATAGATATGCAACATTTTGACGTAGTAGTAGCTTCCTTTCTTTTTATGCTTTATTATTGACTAGCCCGTAAAACTGGACTGGACATGCGTCTCCGATATTGCAGGCGGGATTTGCCTTAATCATCACGCTTGAAAAGCAGATTGACTATCGCAGTACTAGTCTTGTCGCACCTTTGAAATTACTTCTTGCCGCCAGTGGGTATTTACCGCCAGGCTTTAATATATATTTTTTAATTTGTATGTAACATAATATAAAACGTTCCATTATATATTGCACTTTGATGAATCTCTTTAGTAAGTAAACTTGACCAAGAGTCATGACTAGTAGAACGAAAGCTTCGAAAGTAGAAATAACCATAAAGTTTTTGTTGGGACTGGCATACGCTAAGAGGTAGAAGTTTATAGAATTAAAAAAAAGTTTGTTATCCCAATCCCCGCTTAGCAATACCGTCTATTGTAAATCACAAGGTCACATTTCAGCTGTGGTATGGCAAGGGCAAGGTTCACCGTGATTTCACATTTCTCCATATTTTAGCAACCCGGGTTCGTTTCCCGCTGACAAAAACAAAACGTTGCAACTTAAAGTGCTAAATTAACATTTGAATAACCTCGCTGTATTGCTATATTTAGCCTTTGTTTGAGAAAAGAAACAGCGATCTAGTCATCAGCGATGTTAGCGAATTTAACCTCGTATGGACTCAAAGGACCGATAGTCTCTACAGCAAATGTCTCAGGGAGTCATAATTGGCGCTAGGTAAATTTTATATACATTTTTTCTTATAAAATTATAAACTGCCACTCTGTTACTGTATTATATAATTATATACATAATGTTTGTTAATGTACAAACGTGCATGTCATATATTTATTATATGTTTTTAATCTACAAGATATAATAATTAACAATAACATGGAATGTTACCTTGAAGTGGCGGTTTAGGAACTTTTTACTCTTTATTTAAAAAAGTTCTTTGTTTCTCATTCGTTTTGAATTAAGAATATGACCAGGAAAGATTATTTCTAGTACAGTGTAATAAATAACACTAAAATATTTCGATAGAATATAAAACGAGAAAACCAAAAATGTCAAGAAATTTTAATGTTCCAGCAACGTAATTTATGTGGTACGATAACAATATATTACATTTATGGTAATTTCAAAGCATTCACGGGTATATGTGTGAAATTGGGCACATATCTTACTGAAATTATCACACGTAAGACACCCTCCGTTGACATTTTGTTTTATAGAAATTCAGAAAGTATTCGAGATTTATTTCGAAACACCAAAGAAAAGATAGAAGAAAGAAACTCAGATATCTAACTTTAAGCCCATGACACAAATATTTTTTAAATCGGTTCATATTCAAACAATTATGCCCTAACACATATAAAATTTGTTATATTTACGCGAATACCACATGGTTTCTTTCAATTTAAAGTGAATATTTTAAGTTGAAAGAATATATAATTGAATATATTTTTACGAGGTAGAGGCATGCTGCAGCTATATTAGTAGTATAGTTGTAGCACGAATGGGTCGGCTCGACCGGGGAAGGACCACGCTCTCACAGAAAACCAACGTAAAATAGCACCTTAACACTGCTGTGTTTCGTATGGTGAGTGTAGAGAACCGGAGACCCTTTTTAATGGCTAAGAGGCATTCCATCTTAGTCCTCACGGATGACAAAGCATCTGCATCTTGAGTCTTTATTGAGGATAAATGTAGATGTCTATGGATCACAGTAACCACTTACCATCAGGTGGACTGTGTGCTCGTTTGTCACCCTATTCTATAAAAAACAAAAAAAGCACCAGCCTACATTTTTTTAATTTTGTTAGCAATTTACGCGAATAATGTTTGTTGTATTTTTAAATCGCTTTTATATTGGAGTCGTTCTCACTTGTATCGCTACTCCAGTCATCAATCGCCTGAGGGCCGAGATATCGGAAAAGTTAACAGCTAGAATAGCCGTTGAGACGTTAATTGCTCTTTGTATTTGAACGGTTACGACTTTGTATTTTTGAGGGCGTTTTTATTGGAAGTTTTGAATAATTTACTTCTAAGAGAAAATATAAAATATTTATATTCATTGCTGAAGCTGTAATATTTTGATTTTGATTTTTATTCATTTATATAAAGATGTACCGTGTATTGGCTGGATAAGAGAACCCATTACCGCC